CTAATATGAGCTAAGGTTTATGCACAAACTTTGAAGTTGGCAAAAGTAAAAGTGCTATTTTTCAACATTTGTTAATTTTCTAACGAAATTAAAAATATTTCCCAATGATGTGTTATTTTTCTAATTACATAAAACATATTTCCCAAAAATTGGTTAATTTTCTAGTGAAAGCAAAATATTTCCCAATAAAGCAAAAATTCAGTCATTCATTTTCCAACCGGTTTATTCCCTTTTTGGGGTCACAGGGGTCTGCCGGTGCCTATCTCCAGTGTACATTGGACGAGAGGCGGGGGTTCACCATAGACAGGTCACCAGTCCATCGCAGGAAAGCAAATATATTTTCCAAAAATGTGTTCATTGTCTAATGAAGTCAAAAATATTTCACAAAAATGTGTTAATTTTCTAGTGAGAGTAAAAATACTCTCTCGAATCACACACACATAGATTCCTTATTTTAAAGAGAAATTACAAAAAAATTGTTAAAAAAACCATACAATGTGATTTCCAGATTTTTATTTTTAGATTTGTCTCTATTTGTGACCTTAAAATAAATAGAAGAACTTAAAATACGTTATTGTAAGTTAATAATCACCCGGAAAACAACTGCTGGTCATTCTACCAGTCAGATTGATTTTGTCATATTTATTTACATCATGAAAAGCTCATTTTATGTTAAATATTATTTTATTTTCAGTGGAAAACCTCAGATACAGTTTAACTTAATATCATTAGTTTTGACTCAAAAATCAGAAAGACCGTGGAAGACTGTGCTTCTGTACAATGAATTATAAACATGAGTCATTATGTTAACCATGCTAAGTTATGACAGAAACACACTAACAGCACAACTCAGATCACATTGCCTTTGACCAAGCTAGAAGTGACAGAAAGAGGGACGAGTAGTGTGCACTCACATGACATAATATTTTATGAATTAGATGATAACCTTGGGGAAATTGAAGTTGAGAAATCATTGGATGTAGACATATTTCCTTCTTGGAATCAAAGTGAAGCCAAACCATGCTTATATTCTTTTCAGTATGTCTTTATTGTGACAAGATTGAAGTGATATAAATAAACGCTTCAATTTCATACTACAATGAAAAATCAGATATTTGCATCATTAAATCGTTTGTTGGTGCAGATGCTTATCTTGGTTTTCTGCTCACAGATAGTACACTAATTATTTGACACATGGGAGATTTGGAAGCTCACTAGAGATTGAAACTGGCTCTGCATACATGTGTTCTGGGTCTGTACTTGATATTAGGACTTAAAATCTACTCTAAAGCCTTGTTTGATTACCTTCCAAACACTTTCCACCGGTACTTTTTTCTTAACTAAGGGAAATATTGGTTGAATTTAAAGCTTTATGTAGATGTTAAGGTCTAATTTTAAACAGCATAGACATTAAACTATGAGTTGTAAAAACAAGCTGATTTATTTTGTTCTTACCACTTTTATTAATATAACTTGACTAAAATGTTTATCTCAGATGCTACTTGTGCAGAAGCTTTTGGTATAGCATTCTGCTAGAGGATCTCACATTTTTTTCAGTATTTTCTTAGCATTGCCATATTTGAGAGGTCCGTTCAATTCATATTTCCTTTTTGACATGTAAAATATTCAAAATTCCCATAGCAACAATGAGGACCGCAGTAGTGACTCAATGAGAAATGGCAGCTGATGTGCAGCGGCGACTGTGAAAGCTTGAATTCACAAGAGGCCGAGGCTCCAAAGCCCAAAGGAACAGGGTCAGTGGACAGAACTCCTTTACACTGGGGGACAGCAGAACATCTTTTCCCACGCTTAAATTGCACAGAAATTCACCCATGGATTTTAGTTTCATTATAAATGTAACCTTTTCCTTCATTAGTTGTAAACGTTACACGTATAAAGTTAACGTGACTTGTCCAAATGTTGTCATCTAACAAAATACTCATGATGCAGTAAGAGAAGAACAAGTGTCTGTCGGCATGAACACAAATGACATGAGAGAACGAACAGTTCCTGATTTAAAGGATCTTCCTAGAATAGCTCCAAGTTTTAATTGACACCAAGGGAATGTGTTTCATTGGGTGCACAGAGTATCCTAATGTCTACTGCTCACAAAAGTCTTTTGGAGAGACATCCAAGACTCTATCAAAAGTGCTCCCTATGGCTCAGTCGGTAGAGAATGGTCTACCAAGGTTGTGATGTTTCCACCAGTGGTGCAAAGAGTGCTGAAAAATAATACTCAAGTAAAAGTACCATTACTTGGCAAAGAAAGTAAAGAAAATTCAGAGTTCAGAGGACGTTCAGAGTACGTTCAGAGTACGTGTAATAAATAGCTCAGCTAAAACTACTCAAGATTAGTGAGAATCACGTCAGCCATTTTCGTAAGGGTGTTTCAAGAGATAGAAATAGAGAAGAGGTAAAGGGAGAGAGAGAGAGAAGAAAGAAGAACAGAAGAAAAAACCAGCAAGAGCAAGAGGGGGGAAGAAGGAAAAGAGAAAATGAGAAAAAAAGAGAAAAAGGAAAGCATAACAAAAAGAGACAGATAGTTAGCATTAAGAGAATGAGAGTGAGCTGGAGGTAAAAGAGAGGAGGGGGAGAAAGAGAGAGGGAAATAGAAGAGACGGATAGATTGAAAAGAGAGAAAGTGAGAGGGACAAAAAAGTGAGAGAACAAAAGACATAAATACAGGAGAATGAAATAGAGAGTAAAAGAAAGGAGAGAGAGTAACTGCTTCATGCTTAAACTTTCAACAATTTTCCTGTCCATTGAAGCGATAAAAGTAAATAAACACACTGTTCTTGCAAATAAAATTTCATTTCTAGTGATTGTATTGATGTGATTTGATTAGAAAGGATGGATGCCAGTCACTGTAGAAAAATTATACCTTTAAAAAAATAAAGTAGTTAAGACAGTTTGACTAAAGAAGTGCTGTAAAAGTACAGATACAGAACTAGAAATGTAATCAAGTAAAAGTATACATTTAAATTTTTACTCACTAAATTACAGATTCTGAAAAAGAAACTACTCAATTACAGTTATTTGAGTATTTGTAATTGTAAAAACTACACCACTGGTGTCTACAAACAATTCATTCAATCAATGTAGACCACTTTGAGTAAGACCCAACAAGTAATTTGTACCTAGTGTGAAATTAAACATAAGAACAACTCTTACAAACTTGGGATCAATTAAACTCATCATTATTGACACAGACAGTCATGTAAAAGTGTCATCCTTTTATATTTTTTTCTTGTCCGTTTCAGAATTTGGGAACTAAAACCACTTTTCAGTGTTCAGAGAACGTATATTTTAAAGGATCTTGGCTCAAGACTGCCCTCTGTTGGATTACTTTAAAGTCACTTTGAAAGAATGTCACTTTGAAACCAGTGAAGAACCAAAAAGAGTTTAACAGGTTCTTTTAAAAGCGAAAAGTGGTATAGTACCTTCAAACATGTAAAAAAAAACAGCGAAGAAACTTTTTTTTTAAGAATGATTAGTTATTGGTTCATTACTAGGCAACACAATCACGGGGAACACACTGATCCAAGCTGTCCAGAGAACAAAGAGTGATACCCTTCACAAGACCGGGAAGCCACAATCATAAAAGCTGATTTTAAACCGAGAGCTGAATGCAAGGAAAAAGCATGGAAGATAAAGACAGACTTAGAGAATTGCAGACAGAGTCAAGTTTAACATATTCAAGAAATTGGTTGAACACTACAAGGAATGGACTGAAGCTGGGTAAGGCATTGTTAAGTCACTCCTAAATCACAAACAGCAAGGGTATCTCACCAAAGACAAGGAGAAGAAGAAACAAACTGTTGCCAAGAAGCCCAAAGTCCTCTTTTAAGATGAGAGAGCGTTTTGTATTGCATTTAATAAACAGATCCTAGAATACGGGCCACTTTCAAAGAACCAAAGGTCTCAACACCTTGCAATGACACATAATGATCTCCTTCACATCAAGCTGAAATGAGATTGTACATACTTTCCAGTCTCTAGAAGACCAACAGTTCCCAAAAATCATGTTTTCTAACAAGGTTTGAAAGAAGCATTCTCATATGATTAGCTAATTAATTTAAGGCTCATCCATTGTAGCTATTTATTGCCACACTCAAGCTAAGACACTTTAATGACTAAACAGCACACTTCTTTACACGCACACAGACTTGTGTTACTGGCCTTGGGATATATGCAACTGTGAATTCTTTAAAGCTTATAAAATAGGTGTAGTTTTTTTTCTTGTGATCATCACAATTAAAAGAATCAATGACTATAAACCACTTCAGCCTGTTTGAATTTAGCTAACATACAAGTTTCCCAGTTGGATATCTGAAATAAATAAGTTTAAGTTTGACCAAACATGAATAACATCTTCCACAAGGTGGCAGTGTTGTTTTAACTAAAACATGCAGAAAGTCAAAAGAATTCAACTTCCACTCTGTCGGTGAGTACCAGGAAACAAAAATAGCTAATGCTACATCCATGCTAAATGCTAACTCTAAGCTTTGTGAAGTACTGACACTGTAGAAATAAATATGTGTAAAATTCACCTCAGGGTGAAACAAAGCATTGTTTGTGCGTCAGCGGCAACGCCTAGGCCTCCTCGTTGCAAAAGAAAAAAGATGAAGAATATGAAGAGATTGCTGAGGGGGAAGATTCTGACCTTGATGCCGCTTAGTCATCACATGCATTCTTTCATTGAAGGTTTCTGAAGACGTGGGCCTGCGAGCATCACTGCGTTTGCTGTTCTGTGAGTGCATGAATGGGTCTGTGAAAGCGGGCTAACAATTACTGACGAACAAGTTCATAAGGCAAGGGTTTTAATAAAATACACAGACGTACAGTCATTCACAACAAATACCTGAAGATTCAGCGATGCAGATGAGAAAAATGAATTGAGGAGGAAATGGCCATTTTTAAATCCAATTGATTCACTCATAGTTTGTATTATTGTTGTGCTAATGGGTGTTCAGAACTGAAAATATTCTAAATAGTGTATTCCTTTCCTGTGGCTCAGTTGGTAGAACATTGCGCTAACAATGCAAAGGTCATGGGTTAAAATCCAAAGGAAGGCAGGAACTGACAAAAAAAATATGTTCATTTATTCAAATGTAAGTTGCTTTGGATAATAGCGTAAATCAAATGCATAAATGTAAATAAAATCCAAAATCTTAATTTGGGCTCATCATAATGGATGGGAAGTAAATTAAAGACATGCTGATTTAAAGACATGGTAGGTGATTTCTGGGAGCCAATGTTTACATTGGAATCAACCAAAACAAATACACCCCTATACCAAAATCTGCACATACATCACTGATTAAGTTAAAAAAGAATGATAAAGCAGATATTTGATTGGAAACAGAAGACTTAGAGCAAGTAAGTATCATTGCTTTTTATAAGAATATACAGTTGATAATACTACATTCTGTTAGTGCTACACTTCACGACAACGCTCAATGGATGTTGGTGCTCAGTCATCTTTCGGTTTCATTTTACATGTCCCAAATTGGTGCCATCAGTGTAGTGGTAAAAATGAGGGATAATCCTTGGACGTACAAGACCTATGATATGGCTTGTGCTTTTCAAAATTCTGGAACAAACCAAAGCACAATGGAAACAAAAGTGCTTGGAACAGTGTATTTTGCCTGCTTTTTAAATAAAATTTTTACATTGTTTTATTCTGGTATTTTGGTCTTGTTATAAAAAAATCAAAGTTTTAGATTGTTGCAGTAACAAAATGACAAAATATAATACTCAGAATTATATACATGTATTTTTGTAAAATTTCAGGACTGTGGAATTATTAAGTAATGTAATAAAAAATATTTGTTAAAAAAGAACCTGGGAAAAGTATATCAAGCTTTGCCACAAAAATTGTCTTAAAGATAATTTCTGAGAGTAAAAAAGTTCAAAGAGGCCCTGGACTACTAAAGGTTAACCTGTGTTAGGTCTAATTTATTTGCAGTGAGAATATTTTAATCTCAGTTTCCTGTTTGGTTTGTATTCACTGAGCATGTCTGTTGGGTGCTCAGTTTTTAGTGTACTAGCAGTAGGACTTTTACATCTAATGTAAAGTTTACTTGCTAATGTAAAGTTTTCTGCAGGCTGCATTTCGTTTCTTTAATGTTGTAAAGTCTGTTAATGATGATTTGTTTTAATGTTCTGCCGTTTAATTGTTTTTATAATAATTTCCCACCAATTTCTCATCTTTGTTCTTTTACTGTCCAATTTTTGCCACTAGTCACAAGTATCAAAAAAGTTAACGTAACATATTAGCATATTTTAACGATCCAGTCCACTCATGGTAAACACTTGCATAACATTGTAGCTACTGACTTTTATCCATTGATAATCAAAGTCTGGGATCAAATTACTGCTCAAGCGTAGCATTCATATCCACGTCGCCTCTCATTAATCACCTATTAAATTAGACGTATCATCCTGAGTTCAAGTGATATATGATGTATATCTGCTCGACCATCTTCTAGCTCCCATTTGGCTGATGAAATTAAAATATTCAGCCATCGCCAATGTTCCAGTCTAGAATCATATTTCACTGACAAATGGTGATTGCTTTTGTGGATTAACAGTAATAATCATGTGATTATGTCTAGGCGTTTTTGAATTAGTTCAATGCACTGTCTAGGCTGAACGTAACCCATGACACGATTTACAAAAAGTCATCGAACACGACAGCTTTTAGACAAGCTTCCGTTCCAATTTAATATGTGTCTAAGTGAACACTAGGGTTAACACATCTTTATTGCTGCTCGTATACATATAGCTATAAAATGTATTTCCTTTTGCAGAACTCCAGTATTTGATTTTCTAACTAGAGATGAACATCCTTATTACTGTCAGCAAGAACGAGGCGCTTTAATCATGTGGACAGCTTTGGAAATTGGGCCCAAATGGTTGTCTTGGCAACTGTGTAAACCTACACTACAGGCTGTGCCTTGCTCGTATTGATGGTTAAATATGAAGCACAAGCTGAGTCTGGCCAGTCATGTGCACATAACAAGCATGTTTACCTCATTGCTAAGTATAAAGCATAGATCTGTATGCTGAGGTCCTCACTTTACATAGAAAAAAAATTGCAACAGCTGTTTTATTTATGTACAAACAAGATAATTGTTTCCAAGATATTTTAGTTACCTGATATGGTATTATTATTATTATTTGTCTTATGTACATTTGGGTCTACAAACATTAGCTAACTCAAATAACCAAAATAGGGAATCACTTTTTTCATTTAAATAGATAAAGCATCATTTAACCTCGTTCATTACGAATAAATACACACAACAATCTTTAACTCATAAAACTCATGAAGATTTGTATTTAATAAATAGTCCAGTAGTTGTACCAAAATTGTGATACATTAATAAAAACCTACTTTTAATTGAGCTTTTTACATATAGAAAACAAGCAGTTATAAAAGGAGAAACAACTGAAATATAAAATGTTAAATAAATAGTTGCACAAAACATTTGACAAAAAGCAGATTGTCACACACTGTACATTTACAAAAGTGTAACTGTGAGTACGTCCAAAATGCTTTATTTCATAGGGTTTCTTGTAAAAACAAAAAAAAAACTGAAATGAATGAAAAATCCACTTTTCACCATTACAAAAACATCGGCTCAGCATTTTCATACTTCAGCAGAGTCCATGAGAATGTTCTGTGTGCTGAAGGTACATCTGCTTCTCTCCACACCAGCATCTATGTTCTTCCCTCTGTGGGACAGTATTAAGGGGGTCTGGGGTTGGAGTGGGATCTCATGAAGCCCATTCACCACCAGTAGCCTTTTAGGATTTTCACCCCTCCTTTCACTTCAGGCCTGAGCTTCCATCTTTTGCAGGACAAGTTCTTAAACTTTTCATTTGGGCTCTTCTTCTTCTTCTCTTGATGGTTTGGGTTCAATTGCCATTTGGTTCTGGACCTTGTTTCTCTTCACCTTCAGCTGGTTGACAAGATGTCTGTAACTAGTAGATCTGAGGAATCTTGGGTAACAGTCTTTTTCCATGAGAATATAGATTCTGTATTGGGCCATATCGAAGCAGGAAACTGTCGGGCTTTGAAGGTTTGCTTGAGTTATGTCTCGAGTCTCATAGTCAATATTAACCTGTGTTTAAAAAAGAAGATGGAGAGAAAAACACAGTTGTTTGTTCAAATCTGTGTGAACATCGGTTCTGAAAAAATGCTTTGGTTATGTTTTGTATTTACCTCTCTTGGAGCCTCGCTCCCAATAAACTCCTCGTAGATCCTCTTGGCTTTGGATGGTATCTTTGCTATAGACTTTGTGTTTTTGTAGTCCTCACAGGCCAAGTAGAATGCAATGTTTTCTTCACTGAACTCCGATACTAGAAAAGCTCTGAAGGCATACAGTCCATCTGATAGAGGGAGAAAAATGGGGTTAGAGAGGAAGGATTAGTTGTGTAACGTGCCTCATCAGATTAAAGTCCCACATGTAGATTGGGCACATCTGTGCATCACAGTACCATTTTTAGTCTATTTTTAAACCCTCTGCCTCATGAAAAAGCATTTATTTAATACTACCCTGAAGCAACCTACACGTATGAGTTTTATGATTCATTCCAGTGCTGTGGACCACTTCCGTTCCAGGCAGTTGACTGTTCTATTTTTATTATAATATGAATTTATTTATATTAATAATAATTTAATTTAATAGAACAGAGGGTGGAGTTGACAGATAAGGATTTTCACCATTCTTGTAACCCCAATTTTGTTAAATATGAACCAAATTGCTTTTAAAATTCACATTTCAATAGTTCAATAATAATAATCATTTAAAAAACAGCAATTTTCCACTACAATATTGTAGTTCACAATGTGCTATAATAAAAGCCAGTTCAAAAAACTGTTAATAGAAAAAAAATGGTTCTTGAATTTTTCATAATTCCTTCTATTGAAGGAATTACCGGTAATGGAATATTAAATATTAAGAACTTTAAACCTCCATGTTTCATTTCATGATTGCATAACATTATTTTATAATCATTCTGCAATTGTACGTCTGCTTTTGGCCATAAATGCATTTTAAAATACAAAAAATATGAACTCACGTTTGCTGGACAGAAGCTTCTCGAAAGATTCCTTCCACATCAGACATTCCTCCAAGGTCAACCTGCAAGGATGTAACCCAATCAGAAGAGGAACACTGGAAGCTCTTTATATTTCCTAACCAAACACGTTATGAAACAAGCGCCTGTGCATTCAATCTGATCTTACCTCGGCTTTCTGTATTTATAAAGGATGCTTAGATCCTGTCTCTGCAGAAATCCACCCACGCATGCTTTTAGTCTTTTGGCCCTGAGGAAAGAACAATATGTATTTATTAAACATCAGTATTCAGAATATAAAACCTTTTATAAAATGACATTTAAATAGTGTTTCTCGACAAAATAAGAATCCTTGATTTAATACACATGGCAGTGATTTAGATGTAAGCATTCAAATGATGTACTGTGAATAAATATCTAGATAGAAAGACATTAATACAATTTTAATTATGAGCCTCTTACCTTTCCAAACAATTGTTAGACATCCCTGTTACTCCTCCGCACATTGTAAAGCCAGATGGGAAATAAATATCCATTGCGCAGTGCTCTCTGAGAGAATCTTATCAGCAGTGTGTCTGCAGGGAGGGCACTGGGAGAATATATAGAGCAGGAGCGGAGCATTATCCCTCCTCTTGGCCAATCAGAATCCAGTTCTCACTGTGTTAATGCACTGAGCAATTATATGAGAACAGTTGGAAAGTCCAGAGTGATGGTAATGTTCACAAGTGTGTTTTTTTTGTAAGTGCTTCAATTCAGGTCATTTATCTGTCCTTTCACTTTGCTTACATGTTGTTCCCGAAAGATAATTATTTGGAGAAGCATAAATAAAAACATCATCTCAGAGAATCTTCTGCGAGGAGCACATTTTGTGACTGAAAGTGATTTTCCTGTTTGTGATCCTGGTTTATTGTACACAGAAGAACACATTGTGAAGACCCTAATAGATCCCTCTTTCCTGAATGTTTTACCTTTACCTTGTGACCCACTT